TTTTCTATCACACCACACTCATGCATCCACCCAACCACCCACCAGCAATGAATGAAACAGGAGTAGATATTTGACCCAGAGATGCTAATCTACAGGCTGCCATAGCCTTTGAGACAACCCAGCCTGGGAACTTCCAATTAGGCAAATGCGTATAGATTCAATCATAATTATATCTCCCAAATATGGCCTTGGAAATAGAGAAGCTCAAACTCTTGAGGTACAGAAAGACCAGAGTTATTCCAGGAGTGCAGAAATTATTAAAATTAGAAAAAATCTAGTAAGAAGGCGATCAAAAGGTACAACTTACACTTATAAGATGAGTAAGTTCTGAGGATCTAAGGTACTGCATGGTGACCATAGTTAACAATACTATATTGTACATTTGAAAGGTGCTAAGAGAATAGCTCTTAAAAGTTTCATCACAAGAAGAATATTTTTGTAACTATGAGGTGATGGCTGTTAACTAAACTAAGAAAAATCTAGTAATGCAGCAAACTATACTATAACAGAATAAAGAAAAAAACATCTGATTATCTCAATAGAAAAAGTATTTGATAAAATTCAAACACCCCAACCTACACAGGTGATAAAATTGCATAGAACTTAACATATACACACAAATAAACACACACACACACACAGAAATAAAATTGAGGAAACCTGAGTAAGATCAGTGTATTGTATGTGTCAATATCCGTATTGTGATCTTATATATAACTTTCTAAAATGGTATCATTGGGGAAAACTGGGCATGTATACAAGCGATTTCTCTGTATTGCATCTTAAAACTGCATGTAAATCTGCAATTATTGCAATTAAAAAGTCAGTTTTAAAAACAGAGGACATGAAATGGAGGAAGAGAGAGTGGTGGAAGGGAGAAAAGGGAGAGGTCGGTTTTATGGAAACAAAATCGCACTTTCCATCAAAATTTGGTAAGTTAAAAATATAAAATAGGGGCCAGGCGAGTGGTTCAGTTGGTTAAGAGTGTGAGCACTGAGCAACACGGTGGCTGGTTCGATTCCCACATGGGCCAGTGAGCTGCGCCTGAGCTGAGCTGCCAACAGGTGTCAGGATGGCTCAGCTGGTGAAAGCACGTGCTCCTAACAAGGTTGCCGGTTCCACTCCCACAGGGGATGGTGGGCTATGCCCACCCGCAACTAAGATTAAACACAGCACCTTGAGCTGAGCTGCTGTGAGCTGCCAATGAGTAGACGGATGGCGACTGGACCTGGAGCTGAGCTAGCTCTGCCCTCCATAACTAAGACTGAAGGACAACAACTTGGCCAATTCCCCAATAAAATCTTGAAAAATAAAATAAAATAAAGAGCAAAGTAAGGATGCCCACTATCACTGCTTATATTCAATACTGTATTGAGATCCTAGCCAGTACCATCAAAAGTTTTAATTAATGGCCAGCCGAGTGGCTCAGTTGGTTAAGAGTTAGCTTAACAGCGAGAGCTCTGAGCAACAGGGCCACCACTTCGATTCCTACCTGGGCCAATGATGCTGTGCCCGAGCTGAGCTGCCGCTGAGCTGCCAATAGGTGGCAGAATGGCTCAGCTGATGTAACAAGATTGCCTGTTGGATGGTGGGCTATGCCCACCCGCAAATAAGACTGAACTCGGTGCCTTGAGCTGAGCTGCTGCCTGAATGGCTCAGTGGATAGAGCATGTGCTCTTAACAACAAGGCTGCTGGTTCGACTCCCGCATGGGATGGTGGCTACGCCCACCCACAACTAAGATCGAACACAGCACCTTGAGCTTAGAGGCCACGAGCTGCCAATGGGCAGCCAGATGGCGACTGGCGCCCTCCACAATGAAGATTGAAAAACAACAACTTGGCTGGTACCCTTCCCCAACTCCCCAACACTGTTCCCCTCCCCAAATCCCCAATAAAATCTTTTTTAAAAAAGTTTTAATTAATTATACTTAATGTAACTTAATATACTTAATTAAGTATACTTTTAATTAAGCATACTTAGAAGAATTGAAAATAAACAAGTTGGTCACTCTTCACAGGTCATGTGATTGTTTAGAAAATGTATAATAAATTTTAGAACTAATCAGAGATTCCATCAAAGTTGCTGGGTTTGAGATCAACATCCAGGGCTGAAGAGCACATGATAGGTGTCACATTCTAACTAAGCAGATGAGACACCCATTAGTACAAATAAGAGAAGGCGAAAGACCTAGAGAAGAGTTGAGCCCTAGAATGAAGACCACTAAGTCTTGCTAGCCTTGTTAAGCACCTCCTGCTGCATTTGATCTAAGTCTAGCATGTGTGAGTCCCAGCCACACGAGCTCCTGGTTCTTGGGCCCCCATATCTCCCTCTTCTTCCACAATACTCATCACAACCACCTGTCTAAATGAACCCGATGAACATCTGCAACTGGCACTCAAAAGAGCCAACTATAACACGCATAAATATGAAAGATAGACACATACACAGAACTACAATAAGTCATTATAATGACCTCTAAGTTCTACTTAAAACGTTCATTTTTATTTTTTTATAAAGTTAGTTTTAAATGATCCCATCATCGGAGAGAAATGGTATTATAATCTACGACTACAAACAATCTCTAAAACATTTAGGTTGGAAAGTATTATGAACCTTTGTAGTAGGTATACCTTCCCAGTGAGATGTCTCTTAGATGACCCTTAAAATAATATTTAATATTCTGAATACAGAAAAACTGATCACCAAAAAGAATGCTGTAGTAGTGTGTTGGAATGCCAACTTTTGCCCACTGAGTGTTATTATGTTGGACAACCTTGACTGAAATACTTGAACTTCAACAACCTCAGAAAAGATGCCAGACAAAAATGACACCATTGTTGAGTTTTTAAGCCATAAAATTAATATGAACCTAGTAAAGTAAAATCATACAGTGGCATATGTAAACGACAGGTATTTTCACTATTGGCACAGGCCACCTTGGGCCACACTACTAAAGGAAGTTCAATGCCTTTTGTGTTCATTCATATTCCTGAGGCAAAAGATTTGGGTGATGACAATGTTATCACAGGTTTCCTTAAACTTGGGCTCTATTGCAGAACACTACTTCTTTCATCATTCAGAACATACTGTCCAATAGAGTAGCCATGAGTCACAAGGCTACCAAGCACTTGAACTGAGGATATGCTGTAAGGGCAAAATACATATCGGATTGCAAGGACTTAGTGCAATACAAAAGAATACACAATCTCGTTCATAATTTTTACACTGATTAAATGTTGAACTAATATTTTTATATGTGAGCTAAATTAAATGTTTTATTAAAATTCATTTCACCTGATATTTTAAGTTTTTTAAATTTGGCTACTAGAAAATGTTAAATTAAGTATGTCGCTCACTTGTGACTCACATTGTATGTCTACTGGACAGTGCTGATTTAGAAAGTCAAACGGTATTTTAAATAATGTGTGTATAATATACATATAACATTTAAGACATTAATAAATATGTTTATAAGACCCTTTCTATGTCGTTTAATAGCAAATTCCTATAAAGACACGTATAATGTTATAACAATGGTATAAAGAGGCATCTTTCACTGAGTTCCAACTTTTTGACCATGATAATGCTTAATGCTTCAGACAGATTATCTATAATCCTCCCAACAGGGAGAAGTAATTTTCCAGGTTTTTTTTTTACATTCAATATTATTTTATATTAATTTCAGGTGTACAGCATAGTGGTTAGACATTTATATAATTTAAGAACTGATGCCCCTGACTGATGCCCCTGACTATACATACAAGTTATTGCTATATCATTGACTACATTCCCTATGCTTTACATCCCCATGACTATTTTGTAACTACCAATCTGTACTTCTTAATCTCTTCACTTTTTTCACCCTGCCCCTCCCATCTATCACCCCAATAAACCCAGTACCCACCTGACACCATACATACTTATTATAGTGGGGAGTAATTTGGATCAAGGAGACTAAGTAATTTGCCCCAGATAGCACTAGGAAGTGCTAGATCTAGGCTCTGAATGTAGGTCTCTTGGAGGCCAATGCCTGTACCTCAAATAAAGAAGCTGGGAGAGGTCCCGTTTGGAAATGACCATCTCTTGGGAAGTTCGTCATTACCCACCTTGGGCAGGGACTATCCAAGCCACATATCTGTCATTAAGACGGTGCTCCTAGTCTGCCCTGGACACTGTAGTAACAGTTTTGAAAACCAACACACCTACCCAATCAGCCTGAGGGGCCCACTGCTCCTCCTCCCCTGAAAAAGCGTTTGCAAGAAGGACACGGAGGTCTGAGGGCCCACACAGCCAAGTGCGCCAGAGACAGCAAAACAATGGCACCAAGTGATGTGTGGTCAGCTGTCGTCGGTGCCACTAATTAGATGAGTCCCTCTGTTTAATCCTTCGCCTGGACTAACCTTCCGCCTCTGGTCCACTCTTGCAAAATGCATCAATAACAGCAGCACTAATTGAGTGGGAAGCTCTGGAATACCTGAGTAGGAAACAGCTTGCAACCAAAGGGGGCAATGACACTGCCACAAGAGAGAAGCAGACTCGCCATAAAGCTAAGACAGACTGCCAAAAGAAAGAGCCCTCTAAAACCCAAAATATCTTCTGCCACCAAGCTTTGGAAAAATTAGGTATGCAAAACTTTGGCATTCTTTCATCCATCTTCTCCCCCAATACGCTCCTAGCCGAATAAGTGATGGAAGTCTACAGACATCTGCTCAACGTTACCACAAGTACCCACAAAAAGCAATTTTCCTTCCTGCAGCAGTTGGAAAAGCGTAAGTGAAGGGTGGGGGTGATGGAGGTGTGGTGGGGGAGGGAGGG